ACACCAACCAAACTAGAAGCTGTTCTCTTAAATGAGTATTTTTCATTGAGGGAGGCAGGATGGTTTTGTATTTGTCTCCAGCGTGCTACAGAGACTGAAGCAGAGCAGGAATATGCCTCAGCCAAGCAGTGTGCAGATCTGGCCTTGATTTTGGGGCTGCATTGCTTTAAGGCATGTGGTTCTGTATCTTTTTGATTTCAGGAAGATGTTTTTTATAGCCTTTGGCTTTGGAACCACAGAGATGTGAAAGCATCCACCCGCACACTCATGCTGGCTCCAAGATGAACTGGGCCCAACCCAAAGGGAGCAGGCACATCTGTGTGCACAAGATGCTGTTCCGAAGAGGGTTGTGATGTCACCTCCTAAACCTGGAAAGAACAGTATTTAGGAGAGCACTGTCATTTTTGTAATGTCACTTGGTATCGTGCTTGCCTGGCATTTGGGCTGTACTGTGTCTGACATCATGCAAACTCTCGAGCTTTTCCCATGACAAGACCATTGCCTGGCTCCTCTCTGATGTATATTGTTTAATCTTTCAGTTTAGCCCATGCTGAAGCCTTTGCATCAGTGGGAGCACTAAGTCAAGTCTTTTTTCTGCTGTCCTCTCTCTGCTTCTTTTGAATCATTTCCCTAGTGATACATTTGATGGCACTTGGTCCCTGGGGCCTCAGAACATTGCACAGCTTCATCTTCCTTGTTTCTCTTCTCAAACAACCCCACACAGGACCATGGGACTGGCACTAAGATGGGTCTGTTTCTCATAGTATTATTGGAACTCTTGGTCAATCTCTGTCCTCATAGAGCACCAAAGCCTTAAGCTCTGTGGACTAGCCAGTTGTGACTATTACGTGTGCCTTGATCAAGGAAGCTATTACTGCTTAGACTATCACTTCCAAAGTTACCCCAATACAATTAAGATATCTCAAATGTTTTCTTGTCATTGTGCCTGTTGAGTCTCCTGCTGTGATGTGGACAGCAGTCACTTTCCAAGGTGCCATCATGACAAACGAGCTGTGCCTTGTGAGGGGGAGGGATCGATGTGCAAAGAGTTCTCATCTCTGCTTGGAAGGAATTTAATTCACTGATAAAATCCTTCCAGATTCATGGGCTCCTCTGATTGCAAAAATGTTTAAACCCATATCATCCACATAGAAGTACCAGAGACTTTATAACAACTATGAGGATTTCTGGTCAACTTTTGAGTCTGCGCAGCTCTGTAAGAACCAGAGCGGAATGAATTAGCATGAGGACAACTGCGCAGTTATAAACTGCTGCAATTTCAGCAACCGTGTTGTTCTTTGTGGCTTTTGGTGTTGGTACAACAGCTTGCCTCTCTGCATGAAATGAATCCATTTGAAGGTATTTAATGATGAGGTTTCTTTTGCTTTAATTTGTTTTTCCCTCTGCTCAGAAGGTCCTCCAAAGAGGTCTTCTTGGAAGATGGATCCATTGAAAGGAAGAGAAAATAGAGATGTCTGAGCCCAGTGGACCACTCCTGGCTATTTTTGCCTCGGGTAGCCTGATCTGAAGATTGGGTAACCCTGTCCATGGCAGGGTGCTGGAGCTCAGTGATCTTTAAGATCCCTTCCAACCTAAATCATTCTATGATCCTTTGTCCTATCCACCATCCTGTCCCACCAACTGGCCAGCTAGCTGAAGATAGGCTCTAAAAGCAGAGTTCTTCCAGCACATCTGCAGTAGGAGAGATTTTGTTGGGTATTTTTCCTATAGCTAATAAGCTGAAGTGTGAATTAGCAATTTAAAATCAGTGCTTCAGTTGACAAGTGCTGGGATAGATGCACCAGAGAAGCACCATTGTTTCCTGAGATGGATGCTCAGGGTGGGCACCCATGCATTATAGTGCCAGCTATTCTCATTTACCCTGTAGATTTTGTTTGTTTGAATATTCTTGTTTAACATTTTGCTTGGTCCTCAAAGGCTTTTGCAGATCTCATGATGATTCAGACTCACTTCATTACTACTAGATATTAGTATTTGCAGTGTAGTGATTTTCACTGCAGAACTGAGAATCCTGATCATGCTTTACAGGCACAGAAAATATGTGCAGAGCCCTCTTTCTGAAACTTCCAGGGCAGTCTGTTAGTCTGTTCTCTCCCAGAGGACTTTTTTTTTTTTAACATTTATTTGCAATGCAAAAGAAGATTAAAATGAAGCAAAGCACTGCATACTGGTTCTGTAACCACTTAGAAACTGGGGGTAGCATGTTTTTCAGCTGAGTCTGTTTTGTCTGAATACACAGATCATCTTGTTGCTTTTGGACTTCAGAAACCTGTAATCGAGATTCAAAGGTTGACAGGGTCCCCATTTTATTTAGGCCTCCAAAAGCTGTGAGGTTCAAGTCTTAGAGAGGACAAAGTATTTCTCTCAGAGGTGTTGGCAGGCAGCAAGATCTGTGAATCCGGCATTGCTGAGACATCTCGAATTGGGCATCTGGAAAATGGAGGCTTCTGAAATCTGCTGTCAACTTTTAAAATGCTGACTATTTTTCTTCCCTCCTGCCAGCTTTGAAACTTTGAACTGAAGTTGCAGGGTTTTTTTTTTTTATTATTATTTTTTTACTTTTTTTATCACATTTGTCATTCCTTAGTAATGATGCTCTTGCATTAAAAATTTGGCTGACAACTTTGTGGGCAGGAGCCAAAATGAAATTCAGTTTTGCACCCAGTGCATTTTGCATAAGTCTGAATGAAGAACCCCAGTCCCATTTATTATGGCACTTACTGTTTTCTCACTGATGCCAACATTAAACTTGTTTATTGTTGTAATTTAGGTGAACAGGAACTGATGAGGTGTGTGCAGTGTGAGTGTTGAGAGTGAAAGCACCATGTAAAAACCATTTGTTCTCAGGCTATTTATCTTAGATAATATAAAGGTAAAAAATCTCCTGGAAATCGTACAGAATTGGTGCTGCAAAAGATTTAGAGCAGTTCCAGACTGGCTTAATTGTTATTTTGTAGATGCTTGTGACCAGCATGTTAAAGTTTGCTGACGTTAAATGTATCTGTATGCACATATAAATATGTGGTTTGAGTCACATTAGGAGAACTGGCTTTTGGGGAAGGAGCACAGTTTAGGAAGTAAGATTTGCTGGGCATGGATTCTACCATTTGCCATAGCCAGCTGTGTGGATTGCATAAGGTATTTAGGCTATGATTTGAATCTTAGACTAAATTCAGGTGTGCCAAGTACCCAAACAAGAAACATGCTCAAGCATGAAGCATTTTTTCTCCTTTTGTGGCAATGTCATATAAATGAAGGTGATGTCTGTAGGAGCCTTGCAAGGATCAGTGTGAGTATTGCCAGCCTCGGCGTGTGCTGGATTATGATTTTTTTAATTGAATCTCATTCTCATTTCGAGGTCTCTGGAATGTGTTTGTGGAAGGGAATAGCTACTTTTTGGGGGATATTTGCTGCTAAACAGCTTGGGGTTGTGTTTTACTTCTCTCCCAAAGGCAGTGAGTATTTGCTAGGTGCTCACGGATTGAATACCACCAATGAACACCTGTGTGCTGGGTGCACATCTGCAGAATGGTACCGAGCTTCATCAGCTCGGTATCAGATCTCAGCTCAGGTTCATGCCTGGGCTGTGATCCATGTGATCTAAAGGAACAATTTCTGTGGGAGTGTTGGGGCTTCCTGAGGAGTTGAGTTACTTGAAACGCTCCTGTACCTGCTCATACTTCACGTGGAGTCCCTAACCTCAGGCTGTGTGTTGCTGGAGCATTGACATCTTTGAGAAGAGCTGAGAAGTCACTGCATTTCTTAACTGTTCAGGAATCTTGTCCTGATTTGTGTGCAGGGTGCTTTAATTGGGTTGCTCTTGGTTGACTAACACAGCATTTCTCTAAAGTGTTAAGCAAGGACTCAGTTTTTTCTGAGCAAAACGCAAGGGCTGCTGTAATCTAATTATTTTGGAGCTGTGCAGGTTGATGTACAGCCCTTCCTGGTCTCCCCTATGGAGTAGCAGTCTTTAAACCAGTTGTTTGTTCAGAACTAATGTCATAATTTTCAAATGGTTGTGATTTTTCCCTTCTGTTGGTGTAGGTATGATTAACATATCTATATCACTGTTAGTTGTATAAACATGTAAATAAGTTTTTAGGGGGGAAATCAAAATGTTTTTGATGTAATTTAATTCCCATTTATAGACAGGTGGAATTAAAATCTGATCTCTGGGTTTGCAAATGTACAATGTATTCAAAGAGATGCCTGAATCTCTGAAGCTGAGATTTGCTGAATTGCTTTTGAGTGTTCAATCTTCCACTAATTTCAACCATAATTGACCCAAAATCTGAATCCAGATCTGAACCAGAGGCAGCATTTTTATGTTTTTAGTTAAATCTTACGTAACTCTGTTGACACAGATCCTGAAGTAGCACACTTACAGCATTTAGCTCAAAAATGACTGAAAATATTCTTAAAATGAAATAGAAGTTCGTGGTCAATAATTTAAGGCTTCTTACAAGTGTGTGGACTCGATGACTGATGTACGGTAATCTCAGGCTTGAGTTTTCTGCTTTCAGGGGGAAAGAGCCTATTAAGGCCTGTCAAGGAACTGAAAAGTTTGAGCAGTTTTTTTTTTCTCTCAGATCACCATTGAAAAAAAAAAAAGAGACGTTATGAAGTATTTCTAAGCCTACATGGGAAGCAGGAAACTAGTATATAGTCATAGTAGTTATACAAGCTGTGGCCATTTTGGATTGGGAGACTTGGAGATGCTAAGACACACCGTGATAAATCCCTGTTGCTGCAGCAGAGCACGACCTTCCTACGTTTTAGAGGTATAACCACATGGCTGTGTCTGGGTTGCTCAAGCAGCTTGGACAATGAACCATCTTTTTACCTGATCAGGATTGCAACTGTACCTGAAACTTCACAGCTGATGTCTCTCTAGATGATAAGTCTCTCTCAGATGTATACAAAAAGTCCATTGCAGTCTGCTTCTCTGAGCGTTTCTTTTCTTCCCTCATCCTTTGCAGCAATCAAAGAGAAATATGTGGACTGGACGGAGTTTCTTATCCATGATCTGACTGGCGCCCGGACTGCACCTGCAAATTTACTGGAAGGCGTATGTATTAGATTGCAGTTTCTCTCTGATACTGTCTTGTGGTGTGCATGCTGCACCAGTGCTTGTGCTCCCCGTGTGTAGGGCTGTGCGCTTGCAATATCTGTGTCCAACAGCTGTGCAAAAGTTAGGAGCGACGTTGCCTTGATTCTGCTGGCTCCGCTTCTGACTGAGTCGTGGGGTATTTTATTTTATTTATTTCAGGTTGAAAGGTGCTTAGAAATTTGGATATTCATATACCAAGAGGTGAAGGAGAATGCCCACAGATTGGAGATGGGTGTTGGCAGGTTGATGGAGAGCATTGTCAGATTTATGTGTATAGAGAATTATATTTATATTCCAAGGCTGGAACAGAGTTCCAGGATCATCCAGTCCTAGCGTCCGTGTAGGGATAGCTCCCTGAAGGACAGCAGTCAGATTTAGCAGGGAAGTTGAGTATGGTGGGCTCGCTCATTGATGACTGGATAAGAAGAAGGAGCTGTTGTGTCAGATGCATCCATATAGCGAAGAAGCTGGTTTGTGCAGCACATTTGCAAGGAGACTTGCTCCTGGGACATGCTTGAGATCTTAGTATTTCACAGCTTCAGCTTCAGATGGGGGGAGCACGGCTCATCCTACTTTCCGTTGGGAAGGCAGCCATCTCTGGTGCATGCCAGTGCTATTAGGAACTTCTCTGTTCCCATCCAAGGTCAGGTTGGAGGGGGCTTTTTATAACCTGATTGAGTTGTAGGTGCTCCTGCAGTTGGACCTCCCTGCAGAGAGTTGGACTAGATGGCCCTTAAGAGTCCCTTCCAACTCAATTCTGTGATTCTAGAGGCAGCAAAAGTAGGAGGTCCCAGGCAGAAATGCAGAGAGAAGCCACTGCCTTGACTTGAAACAGTTTCTCACCCTCTTCTGGTGTTGTATGTGATATATGTGCTTAGTGCTGTCTGTGTCATGCAATGTATGTTACCCCCCCTGTCGACAGATTTGCTGTTTGTGAGTGCTGCAGATTGTTCTTATACTGTTAAATCAATATGCAGTGATAAATTTTTTTTTAACATGCTAGCTATGCATATAAAGAGCTCTTGAATTATGGTAAATGTTAATATTTCAAGCAAGCCAATTATTAATCTTAGCCATTGAGTTGTCAGGAGTAAGCGACAGCCCTTTGGCTTAGAATTTAGCACACAAATCTGGGAAGCGATATTCGCATTTTTGTGGCCAGGGTTTTGTAGCAATAAGGTAAATCATTACACCACCGTTTGATGTTAAAGAATGTCTTGTTGGAATGAAGCAGTGTGCGAGAGAAAAAAAAAAGAAAAAAGAATTTAAGTAGATTTCTATTATGTTATTACATTTTAAGAGTGCATTTTTCCATGAAATAATATTTGAAGAGGTTGTGCAGGTGTGGAGGAGTTGCTTATAATGGTGGATACATTATTTTGAGAAATATCTGATAATCATAGGTCTGGTTAAACATGTGATAAGGTTTTAGTCAATTTAAATATTTTTTTTTTCTTACCAAATTCTCATTTTGATGCCTGTATTTTTGGCTTAAAGGAGGTGTAGTCAAATTTGGGTATGCTTCAAAATTTGAATATTTTCATAAGTCAATACGAGAGAGCTTTTTTATAAAGGAAAATAAGACTTATTCCTCCTTTTATTTTTTTTCTAGCCACCCATAGAAGTAACTGACCTGGGCTGACACTGATTTGCAGAATTAATATTAAAAAAATGAAGAAAAATGTGAAAGGCACATATTGTTGAATTACAAAGAAGTGGAACAATCACACGAGAAGAAAGATTGTGCTTTTTTTTTTCTTTTTCATATATTTTGCCTGTGCTTAACATTTCCTTTGAGGAGCAATGCTTGCAACTTTTGGAGTGATTGTTAGTGCTGTTCTTAAAATTCTAGAAGTGAGAAATTCAGTAAGAATTGGAACTTACTTTAAAAAAAAATGGAAAGAAAAATAAAAAGCTCTAACCCTCACATTTGCAAGAAAAAGCCTGACAACACAGAGTTGCTCACAATCACAAAAGAAAATCACTGAGCCCCAGAGGTATTGTTCTGAAAACTACCACACATTTGTTTTAATGTCTGCGGTTGGCAACTTTGAAGGTGTAAAGTTAAACACATACGAACGGTTGCAAAACCACCATAGACATTTCCATCCATGACAGTGGGAATAATTTGCTCTACATTCTGGTAGGAGCAAGGCAAATTGTTTTGATGGGAAAGATCAGTGCCCAGAAGGCAATTTCAGTGTCATGCCCAAAGTAGTTACCTTTTAGATAAACAGCAGGGTCTGATCCTGTGGTCGGTTCCTATCAGCTGCTATCAATGAGAATTTGGTTTGAAATCTTTCAGTATAACTGTGCTCTGCTTTGTTCAGGAGCTTCCCAAGTGGATATGCCTTAAGGGCTGTTTCACCTCTGACTATTCTTTTGTTGTTGTTGATGATGTCGGTTTAGAAATTAGCACAACTGTTGTTTTCTGTTTTACTTCTGAATTTGCACTTGGAAGACATTGGGTAAAATAGAAGAAGAACAGACTGTTTGCTGATCGCTTGGATGATGGTGTGAAAAACAAAAATAATCTTCTGCTGTCATCTGTTTCCTTGAGAAGTCTTCAAATAAAGTTTAAAATAAGGAGTTTTGCTTCTATTCAAACAGCCTCTGCGAGGAAAAAACCCTGTAGACCTCATTACAGTTGATTCCTTAATAGAGCTGCAGGATTCCCAGAATCCCTTTCAGTACTGGATAGTTAGTGTGGTTGAAAATGTTGGAGGAAGATTACGCCTTCGCTATGTGGGATTGGAGGAGACTGAATCCTATGACCAGTGGTTGTTTTACTTGGATTGCAGACTTCGACCAGTCGGTTGGTGTCAAGAGAATAAATACAGAATGGACCCACCTGCAGGTAAAAAAACCAAAACAAAACAAAAAAACAAACAACCTTTTAAAAATGCTGTTCTCTTTTGTGATATTTTTTATGATCGTGGTATGTTTTAAGATTCTTGTGCAACCCATTTCTTTTCCAGTATTCACATTGCTTGGTCAGCAGGTTTTAACTGGAACACAAATTGTGAGCAAGAGCCGTCTGATTTGGGCTCAAAGTAGTGGGTCAGGTAAACTGTATTAAATGTATTTAATAAAACGAGCTTGGTGTTGCTCTCTCCTGCAAGGAAATTGTATGCAGTAAGAGCAGTTTTGTGTATCAAGAAGCAGAGCTGATAGAGGTGGTCCAAGGATGTGCCTACTTGCTCATCCGCTTGCAGTAGTGTTTTGGTGTCCAGGTCTTCTTGGTCTTTCTCTAGGCATCCTAGAGTAGGATTCACTAGAATTCTATTTACTGTTCTCCAAATCAAAATTTAGGTGACATCTTTCAGCATATTTTATGCTCCGTTTGCTCTCCCTTCACCCAAGCACCTCTTGCCAATCTGTTTTCTATGGCCATGCTCTTGGATAGCAGTGTACTTCCATGGAATTTCTTTGGGCTGGAGAAAGTGTTCTGGGATATTTATGGTCCCTTCATTGTAGGTCTTTCTCATCCAGCTGTAACTTGGCTGTTGAGAGTCTAAGACCTGCCTTGTGTGGTACCAACTCAGAAGATGGCACAGCAGGCCTACACCACATTTTCCTGTGTAGGTGGGCAGATTGTCCAGGTCTGTGATTCATTCTTCTTGTGCAATAGATGAAGTTTTTCCATGGGAATTAATGATGGAAGAAAGATGGCTCTCCTTTGGATGAATGTTCCTGAGGTGACTTCTATCCCTTGAACTTTATTTAGAGAAGTTACTATGATATGTGCTGGTTTACAGATCTGCATGGGTCTTGGGTGTAACTTGGGGTCTTGAATGCTTTTTGGAAGTGTGTGTTTTCCTTCTCGGAGAGGTGGGAATCGATATTCTCCATCACTTCTAAATCAGATGTGAATGCTGGAGGGCATGAATATCACTCACTCAGTTATTTCCCAGAGCGTCTGTGTTACACAGAAACGCCTTTTCATTGACCATCTCTGAAACCTCTTGGCCTGTATAGGTTTGGTTAATCAATACGGAAGTGGCCTAAACTGCATTTGTACTTCTTTGTCCATTCCATCTTCCTTTTCCTTTTATCTGTTTGTGTTTCCTTCTATACTCTTTTTAATTTTTTTCCTTCCAATTGTCTTATCTTTAAAACTGTTATTGGACTCGATCTGATGAAATTATGTATTTTTCTCCTCCCCTCTCCTAGACTTAATTGCTTTTTAGATTTCTTTCATGTCTTCATTTAGAATCTCTTTCCCCTCCTTGGCATTTCTCTGGCCGTTCCCCTTTTAGTGAGCATTGCTATTATTGAGTTTGGAGATATATATCTTTGTGCTGACATTGACAAAAAAAAATTACACATCCTAGGATGTTGTCTTGCTGGAGTTTGTTGAGAAAAGACCCTTTGGGTGCGAGTCTTTCCATTTTCTTTTTGAGTCCTGACCTCCTGAAGTCTTACCCCGGCAATCTTTCTTTGACCCATCCTTGCCCTTCTGAGTTCTGCATTCCAGGGAGTAACCAGTCATGGTTATGTCCATGTCTATGTCCATGGGATATATGGGAATCTGATACATCTTGAGAGGCAGGAATGCTGGTTGTTCAACTTGTGACATCACAGATAAAATTGGCCATTTGATGCCCACCTAACATCAGCATATTCATAAACTACGGTGGATGAATAATGCTTGTTATGAGACTTGTATAGCAGGCAGACAGGAGGCAGTAGTGAGTTGTCAGAATGAGGTGCTGGGCAGCGGAGAGCTCTGAAGAAACTTAAGGGTGAAGATACTAAATGATAGTCTGTCACAGGATGTGATTTCCTGAGGATGGCAGACCAGGAGATTGTGCCAGGGATTTGTCCCTACCTGCTTCCCTCCTTTCTGATGACTTCTGTTGTAAATGAGATTTAGCTGGGGAAAGATCTTTGGTGTCACCTGTATATCCTGTCTTAGGAAAGAGAAAATTTGTGGGTAATATGTTGGGTTTTTTACATGTTAGTTTAGATTCATTTGGCACTGTATGGGCATTGAAATGATGCTTCAGCATCATCTGTTGCTTTTTCTTTATGATCAGTGGAGAGAAGAGGATGTCTAAATCGTTCTGTCATAGGCCAGATGAAGTGACATCTTCATAAGTCTGTTTTCTTCCACTCAGAGGGTTGAGAGGAATGAACATAGAGCTGGTTTCTAACTTTTGAAGCCTGTTGAGAGGACTGCTTGACTGATAAAAGGAGCAACCTTAGATTCTTTATAAAAGCTACTGTGAATATCCTCTGAAGAGATGCTGAGAACTTCCAAACCAGGCTGTGTGCCTAATTGGTATCAAATGAGGATGTTCTGTTGCACATCTTCTCTGCAGGTTATTACAGTGTTTTACCAACCCCGGACTTGGAAGCTGTTTATGCACCATTAGCTTTATTTCCCAACGTGTCTGGGTTGTGGTTTTGCTATGCTGATCTGCCTCTGGCACCTGGCAAGTTGACTGTCACACTGCACAGCAGTCTGAGGTTAGTCTTTCAAGATGCAGGACATTCTCCTCTAAAGGAGATCCCATTGTTCTGAATGTCTACAGCATCTTGGGTGGAGAGGTCTCTTTCTTGAAGCCAACTGCAACCTTGCACCAACGTAAGATATAAGAATGTGCAGAGAAAGTTCTTAGGAAATGGCATCCCTGCTGTGTTCACAACTGGGAACTTTTCAACAGCTTTATATGTCCTCTGTGGTAAAGAGAGTGTAGCACTTCTTGCTTTTTCACTTGGATCTGAATCCAAGATAAGCCTCCTTGCTACCTCGAATTGGCAGAGGCAGCTTGACACAGCCACGGGTATTCTTTGCCTCAACTGTTTATGCAGGAAGAGGTAGTCTCATTTTATGTTACTTTCTATTAAAAGACAAATTGGCAATGATTTTAATTCCTCACTCCTTGTTAACCTAAATACAGATTGACACAGTACACTTTGTTCAATTACCTGCAACACTATCACTTAAACAAAATACTTTATGCTCTTTTAACCATGCGATTTAGTGTCCATAAACTTGCCAGCATAAGCTAAGTGCCACTGCCTGATGAAATGTCCATGTAATACTGCTTGCTGGTTATTGAAACAATTGAGGTTGTATTAATCTTTCAAGGCTTGTTGGCACCAAAGAAGTTGCTGCTTGTTTTCACTGCTGTTGTGCAGAGTTACTCCCAAAGGCCACATTAGAATTGCAGGGTCACAAAATCATTAAGGTTGGAAAAGACCACTAAGATCATCTAGTCCAACCATCCCTCCCTCAGTGGAGGGACCTCAGTCCCTCAGTGCTATATCTGCCCTTTTCTTGAACACATTCAGGGATGGTAACTCCCCAGGCAGCCTGTTCCAGTGCCTCACCACTTTTTCTGAGCAGAAATTTTTCCAGATATCCAACCTAAACTTCCCCTGACACAACTTGAGGCCATTCCCTCTCATCCTACAACTGGTTATCTGGGAGCCAAGGCCAATCCCCACCTCACCGCAGCCTCCTTTCAGACAGTTGTAGAGGGTGATAAGGTCTTCCCTGAGCTTCCTCTTCTCCAGACTGCACAATCCCAGTTCCCTCAGCTGCTCACTGTAAGATTTATGCTCCAGACCTTTCACAGCATTGTTGCCCTTCTTTCTCTCCCATGTTCCGCTGCCATTATGATGGCAAATGAAGTTCTGTTTTCATCCTGCTCTGTTTGGCAAGCGTCTGTGTGGGTTTTCTGAAACTCAGAATTTATATAGGTAGAAGCAACAGGTTGGGGTGAAATCATGACTTATTGACTATTTCTGGCTTTTTTTTTCTTTTTTGCATCATTTCAGCCAAAAAGGGAGAAACAAAGTGAATCATTTCCCTTCCTATATTTCAGCCATTCAAGACTCCTGCAAGTGGGTGAGCTATTGGAGCAGGCTGCCCAGTGAGGTGGTAGAGTCACCATCCCTGGAGGTTTTCGAGAAAAGAGCAGACGTGGCACTGAGTGGCATGGTCTAGAGTGGTCATGGACATGGGTTAATGGTTGGACTAGATGATCTTTGTGGTCTTTCCAACCTCAGCAATTCTGTGATTCTAAGTAAGGGGAAAACTGGTGCAATAGGCACTATGAAATAGTGAACAGTTTGACAAACAGCTCCTTTCTTAACTCTTGTGACCACCACGCATGCTGTAAACAAAGACTTGAAATGTATGTTCCCATTAATAACCAGACAGTTGAGGAATTCACACTGCAGCCCTGAAAGGTTAACCTTTCCCTTTAAGTGTGTTTAAATTCACGTGCATACCCGTGATGTCTGTCTGAAGTAGCAAAGCTTAATATAGTGGAAGTATAAATACATCCTCTTCCAGTGAGTGATTCTGCAAATCCTGTTTTGATAAGGTCTTAAATCTATTGAAATCAGACCATAAAATTCTCTTGTACTGTCAGTGCTAGGTGACAGTGCCTGCCAATTCCTTTTTTTATATATGTTTCTTTTATTTCCTCCTTCAGAATTGTAAGATACCACAGTAAATCTCTGGTAGCTTGCAAATATATATGGTTCCTAGATGTACAAAATTTAAATGCAAATTAGACCAACTTGAACTGTGGTGGAAGTGAGTGAAGCCCCGCTGACAAAAGCAAATCTTTGCACTGCTCAGTCATTATCAAAGTTCGAGTTTATTGTTAAGTAAATGTTCATTTCCATTTCAGTAATTGTTACTAGTCTCTCTACTTATCTTGTCTCTTGGAGACTTGATATAAATGCTCTGCAGTAACTTGTTATGTATGGGATAGCAATATGTTTTCCAGGACAGAAGTAAATCCAATATAATGTTCTTTGTCATACCATTGTTTCCTATGTTTTTTTTTTTCCCTTTGGTGATTCATAGGCATTTTACTGCTCTGAACTGTAAAGGACTTGCTAATACAATGATTTAATAATATTAAACCAATTTAAAGAAACCCATTGCCTAGAAGTGTAATGATTGCAATTCTTTAGTGTAAGTGTGAATTGATGTGATGCTCAGTCATGTACCAAAGATAGGTTTGTGTAGATACCAGCTGAAATGTTCTTTCCCACACCTTCCCTCCTGCAAAAAACTTCTGCAGTAGTGAATTTTCAATGAACAGAAGAATTGTTAAGGGTATTTCTGTTTTTGTTCAAATATAAATAATGTTAACCCGAGGCTTCTCAAACTGGAAAATATTTGGTATTTTTGTTATTTTCAAATAATGAGATAATATAGTTCTTTTTTCTTCAACAGAAAATGGAATGTGTGTATTTTCTTGGGTTTTACTCTAGGATATAGAACACATTTCTTCCCTAAATGTGCCTCTGCTCCTTGCTTTTGTTGCATTTATCCACACTGTACAGCTTGGGATATACATGCTGCTGATTACAATTGAACCTTCCATTTTTATGACACAGTAACTTAAGACTTTCAGAAATCTTCAATTCCCAAACATTTACTTCTTGGGCTTGTATTTTTTTTTAAATTGATTTTTGTGTTTTGTTGTTGTTGTTGTTGTTGTTATGATTGCTTTAGATATCTATTCTCTGAAGACGATATCTGAGTGGAAATGCGCCCTGGAAAAATCCCTAAATGATGCAGCAAATTTTCCTCTTCCAATGGAAGTATTCAAGGTAAAAAGTGTACATTTTCCTTCAGTTATTCGATAGAGTAAATTCTCAGCTACAAAACACTATTTTTCATAATAATCACCACCACCATTAGCTATGCATTTTTGCCAATAATGAACAGCAGCCTGCATGCCACGTTCAGAAAAACTTGCACCAATGGAGATGTCCCACTGTTTCACAGTGTTTCATCACCCACCACCTCACTATGCACGCATCCACTGTTTGGTCTCCATAGATATTCAGCAAGGGTTGATGAATGTCAGTGGGTGCAGTTTTTTCTACGTAGAGGAGTTCGGTTCTACCCCTTTGCTTCATGTGCAGTTCCATGTCAGATGCCATTTTGTCAGACTGCCCCTCTGCTGCCATCTGTCACATGAAAACAAGCTGTAATGGAGTTCTGGTTGGAAAGTTGAACCTCTGCTGCCATACTGCCGACATCCACTTCTGTTGTAATGGGCCAACTTAATAAAATAGGAGGCATTACTTTCAGAGCAGCCCTTGTACATTGCTATCAAAGGTCATAAGTGGGATGTTTGTATAAAATGCAGTTTTGTGTGAACTCCGCTCTCAGACCTGATTTCTTGCTGTTACTGTTTTATAGATGATGTAGGGGTATGACCAACACTGATTTCTCCAACATCAGCATTTCTCCAACACCATTTCTAACATCTTTAATTATGCAGACCTGAGTTCTCACAGCCTGTGACAGCACAGTGCTGTGATTATGAGAGTACTTGTAAACTCAGCTTTCTGTGAGCCCTGTGCTCAAATTTTCATCTCATTCTGAGCTGGTCCTCCTCCAGGGACCTGTAGTGGAAGTAGGAGATAATTTTCTCCTGTGTCATTTTTTCTTCACTCAATCTGATTTTTAATAGTTAGAGATGTGCTTCAGCCCTGAGGCACCAGCTTTAATATCCCATCCAAATCCACACTGCTGTTCATCGTGGCTGCTCCAGATCATAATCCAGATTTCTAGCTGTGCCAGCCTTTTTAATGTTGCAGCCTTGCAATGGTGTGCTGTAGCAGTGTGGGGGGATGAGTTGTAGCATAGTGCTGCACCACTGTCTCCAGTGAAGTGGACCAGGTCATAGAACAATGGAATCATTAAGGATGGAAAAGACCACTAACATTATCAAGTCCAACCATCAAACCATTTTCATCATGTCCACTAACCATGTCCCTCAGTGCCACATCTGCTCTTTTCCTGAACATCTCCAGGGCTGGTGATTCCACCACCTCCCTGGGCGGCCTGTGCCCATGCTTCACCATTCCTAATGAGAAGAAATTTTTGCTGATATCCAACCTGAAATCCATCTGATAACCACCAGATCCTCCTAGTCAACCACAGTGGTTACCACTGCTCCTGGCTCATCCAGTGTGGACACCTAGGTTCCTTCCCATTAGCAGCATGATATTGAGGCACCCCAAAACACCCATGTGATTGGGAGAAGGCACCCAGTATGCCCCATTCTGGCTCATCACAGGGACCTGGTGCCACCTAGTGAAAGCCCTGCTAGGCTGAGAGAAATATAGAAAATGTATGCATTGGCTTTTTTCACAGACAAGGGTTTGAGATGTCCCATAAAATCATAGAATTGCCGGGTTGGAAAAAACCTTAAAGATCATTGAGTCCAACTACAACCTAACCATACTGCCCTAACTCTAACAACCCTCCACTAAATCATGTCCCTGAGCATTGCATCCAAGCGGTTTTTAACACATCCAGGGATGGTGGCTCAACCACTTCCCTGGGGAGCCCATTCCAGTGCTTAACAACCCTTTCTGTAAGAAGTGTTTCCTGATATCCAACCTAAACTTACCCTGGCACAACTTGAGTCCATTTCCCCTCGTCCTGTCACCTTAAAAAATAAAATCTTGTGTTGTTGCAGGAGTGGTTTTGATTCTCAGCCACCTTTTTTTGTACAGTGCTTCAGTCCAGAAGCTATTAAACTTTGCAGTTTCAAGATGAAGAGCATATTGTATGGGGCAGGGATTAAACTGGGAAAGCCTAATGTGTAAATTTTATTCCTACCTATATGAAAGAGCAAAGAATCTTTCTGATGAGGCTCATAAAGCATCCTTTTTTTTTTCTTTAGTTTATAAGTAACAGCTGTTTTGCAGCCTTTTCTCAGCATGCTAGACTTATACCCACTTATTTTAATTATTGCATGACGGTCATAAATTTAAACTCAGCAAGTCCCAGTGGCCACACTGTGTGGTTAGAGCTTGCAAGGGTGTTCCTCTTAGACAATGCAGTGCCTTGGAATGCTTGAATGGCCCAAAAGGAGAAATCTTGGGGGCCATACATGACAAAAAGGCAGGATTAGGGCAATACAGCTTCTTTATTTGAACTGTGGAAGCCAAGCACAAGGATTCAGTGTCTGGTGGTGTTTGGGTCCCTGCCTGGTGATGAGGAGGCTGGGGGCTAAATGAATGGATGTCCTTTTTTTCTCTGCCTGTAGAAGGACTCAACCCCATCTTCTACCATTTGATCTAGGGGTAAAAAACAAGAGGTTGTCTGTGCATCTGAGCATGCCTTCCTCTAATAATGATTTAAATGTAAGTTAAGTAAAGACTTTCTGTATGAGAATATAGTTGTCTGATCTTTCAAGGCAAGCCAAAATTCACTCTTGGGAACTTCAGTAAGAATCCCAGAAGAGCCCAGCAAAAAATGTTGAATCCAAAGGCTTTTTTTTTTCTTCCTAGTACCAGCACAGAAATAATGTCTCTACAGGGTGCCAGGGGACTTGGTGCTGCTATAATTGTTATGTCTTAGATGAGGTATAAAACACAGAGTTTGGCAGCTTGCAACTGTTAAGATCTTGGTCTTCTGGAAAGCTGGAAATGTTTACTTTGGCAAACATGATAAACTGCCCAGTTGATAAACTGAGCAATTAATTTCTACATTTCCCTATAGAAATCCATACAGGTATGAACACTCCCTAGAGTGAACACACACACGTTTGTTTGGCTTGATTGCAGATTAAATTGCTGTTGTTGTTTGAGATGTGCATGGTGGTGGGCGGTGTCAGGAATGCAGTGTCAAACTGGTCCCAGGTGGTAGTGCTGCAAAGTCAGGTCTGCATTTGTAGAATCATAGAATTGTTAAGGTTGGAAAAGACCACCAGGGTCCTGTAGTCTAACCATAACCATCTGTAGTGGGAAAAGTGGCTTCTGTTATGAGTTTATGAGCCCAACATTACAGTTGGTGGTGGAGCAATTTGGTTTTGGTGACAAAGGGTTGGGTTCTGCCTGGTAACTCATACGCCATGAATTTGAGCCTGTATTATCACTGCTCAGCAGCATAGCAGAACAGAACTTTTGTGTAGTGGTCTTCAGCAGGAAAACACTAAAATGTCTTGCAAAAACGCAGCCCTGATGGTAGAATGGATTGGGTTGGAAGGGACTTCAGAGATCATCTAGTTCCAACCCCCTGTTGATGCAGGCAGGATTGCTGACCACTGAATCAGGCACTATATCAGATTGTCCAGCACCCCATCCATCCTGCCCGAATTATTCCCCTCTTTTGCATCCAAGGAATCAGAATTGTTAAGGTTGGTTAAATACGACTAAGATCATCTCGTCCAACTGTCAGCCCATCACCACCCTGCCCACTAGATCATGGCACCATTAATGAGGCCTTAGGAGCCGGTTACAAAAATCAGAGGGAAGGATGAGAGGAAGATCTTCCTTTTTTTTTTTTTTTTTTTCTGGTGCTGTTTTACACTTGGCCATATGTTGAAAGCATTTGTAAAACACTTTAGGATCCTTTGAGAAGGAACGTGATATGCAACTGCTAGAAAATGTCACTGTTATATAGCTACTAAACATAGTGTTTTGCAAACTACACCTCCTGGAGAAAGTTTTTCTTTAAAAAGCTTTTTGCAACACATCCACTATATTGTCATTCTGTTCTTCTTAGAAAACAAATTGATTCTCAAAAAAAAAAAAATAATAAATGCAGACTGTTTTTTCAAGTGTGTTTAAATAGTTTGGGAGCTTAAATCCTTCCAGAAGGCCACAAGGAAACCCAAGGAAACCTGTCCTTTACAGTTTCTGCTCTGATTTTGAGATGCAACATTTGGCTGAATGCCTGCAATAAGCAATGGCTCAGAGCACGCCTAAGAAAAATGACCAAATCTTTGGGTATAAATAAAGGTGGCTGGATTGTTACTAAGGCCAACTTTAAAGCTGTGTAACATCAGTGGTTCAGCAGTGCCATGCTGATGCTTTCTGAGAGGCAGCCTGGCATCAGGAAACCAAACTTAAGACACAGAACCTTTTAGCCCAAATATTTATTTCCCCCTGAACACACATTTGTAATTATTCTCTCTAGCTGAGGAACAACTGTTTCTCTTCTCTGGAACCAGCCCAGTGAGATCCTATTTCTAGATCATATATCATAGAATCATTCAGGATAGAAAATACCTTCAAGATCATCAGGTCCAACCATTAACCTGACCAAGTCTCATCACTAGACCATGGCCATTAGTGATGCATCACATATCCCTTAAACACCTCTAGAGATGGGTTACCATCACCTTCCCTGGCGGGCAGTGCCTAACAACCCTCTCTGTAATGAGATTCTTAACTGATATCTGAACTAAATCTCCCCTGGTACAACTTGTGACTCTACTAATTTGGAGTATTTGGGTGTTTCCTGTGATTTGTAATAATACCATTAATTGATGCTAAGATAAAAGGGATGGAAGGAATCTCCTATGGAGAATGATGAAGGGACCATCCATCAGTGAGTTCAGAGCTGCCTCCTAAAATTCAGTACTGGGTGCTTTTTTGTTCCACAGTCAAAAATACAATAAACAAATATTACAATAAATATTAAAAAGAACTTCTTCCTCTCCCAGATGTTTTTGTTTTTTTTTTTCCATCAGCTGAAATGCGCTTTTAAAATATGAGATTAAATTGAAGTATTTATTTATGATTGTAACTTATTTTTTGAAGAAAAAGATAACATCTCTCAGAAGTTAATGCATTCTGTAGGT